TTTACCTTAGCCAGGTTGTTGAAGACACTGAGGCAGCACTTGGACACTGTGATGTTCATGGTGTCTTTGGAGCATATGGTGATGGCTGTGCGAGGGTCTGGCAACATAATGAAATCATCCCCAGGAACTGGACTTTTATCCCGAACAGGGTTATTCTTCATCTACACACAGAAACACAAACAAATAATTACCAACAGAACAACCTGCAAGCTATCTGACAGGGTGGGAATGTGGATTTACGTTTGTACGAAAAAGTGAAAAAAGAGAAGCAATTCTGCTTACATCCAATTTAAGGTTCCACCTTCGTCTCCCATTGTCCACTCTCTCAAGAAGTGGCTCCCAAATGGCATGAGTCTCATTGAAGTAATTCACCTCAAGTGTCATATCTGCAGAGACACTGAGCAACGACGACCAGTTCTGAGCAGTACCGGTGAATGACGACTCCGCAAGCAGCAGGGGAACAGTCCGATGCCCCAAACCTGACTCCAGCGTGACCTGCACCACCTTCACGTTCATCTCAAAACTCTCTCCATCCTTACTGCTGTCCACATCCTTGAAGCTCTCAGTGACCTCGGAGGCTGTATCCACACCAAGGAACCAGTAGTTTGCATTAGCGACATTCATCAAAGACCAGAGGCTGTTTAGGTCATCTGACGTCTGCTGTGACGGCTCTTCTTTAGGTCTGGGTGCCATGGCCGCAGTGATGGTAATGACAGTGTTAAGAATGATAGGAGAGATCTGAGAGAGCAAGACAGAGACAAAAAATGTTAGTTCAACACAGATTAGAATATTCCTGGGATATGTAATGAAAACATGAGATGTTTGAACAGTACTGTATATATTTACAGAGAAAATAACTCCGTTCACATGATTCAAGTTCAGTAAGATTTTTCAACAGAAATTAATACTTTTCTTTAGCAAGGATGCAATATATAAATCAAAAAGTGACAGTAAAGACTGATTTCTATTGTAAATAAATACTACAGTATTCATCACAGAATCTTGATGAAAAAAAATGCATCATTGTTGCCACAAAAATATCAAATGGCATGGCACAACTGTTTTTAACACGGACAATAATAAGAAATGTTTCTTGAGCACCAAATCAGCATATTAGGATGATTTCTGAAGGATCATGTGACACTGAAGACGTAATGGCTTATTTTTAAAAAAAATCAGCTTCACCATCAAAGAAATAAAAAAATTAATAAATAAATGTTAAAATATATTAAATATATATTTATTGCTAAAATATCAAATATAGTATTTCAGATAGTATAATATATATAAATATTATATAAAATAGAATATACATTTAAAAAAAATATATATTTACTGTATTTTTGATTAAATAAATGCAGCCTTGGTGAGCATAAGAGACTTATTTTAAAAACATTAAAAAATCTTACCAATAAAAATATATATATTTACTGTATTTTTGATAAATAAATGCAGCCTTGGTGAGCATAAGAGACTTATTTTAAAAACATTAAAAAATCTTACCAACCCCAAACTTTTGAAATGCTAGAATACATTTTCCTTTCACAAAAATATTAATATGGCAAAGAGCTAACACTCACTTTCACTATGACCTCCTCTACAGTTACTGAACCAGTTAATGGGGCATTGGTTGGCATTTTGGTCTCAAGTTCAACAGAGCATGGTCTCAGCACCTGCAGTAAAAACAAATTCATGATTTGCAAAGCATTATAGATATTTGCAATTACATAGACTGCAATATATTTTTCACAGTGTCTCTTAAAACACAAAATAAGCATAAAACTTTATTCCTGTTGTAACAATAGAGTTAAAACAGAAAGACATTAGTAGAAATCAGTAAGCATACGGTGGTCTCAGCTTTGTCACCCTCCGTCCTGATAAAGGGGCAGGCGAGCACTTTGAGGCTTCTGACGTTGGCCTTCATGGCCTGTCCAGTGTCTTCAGACAGGAGGCTAAAATCACACTGGAATGAGGCTACCAGCGCAGGAGCATCTGCCTTCATCAGGTTAGCCACAAACACAACCTCTGGGTCCACCACAACTGCTCGCAGCCTGGTTCTCGGAGCTGAAGTTGATGATAGATAAAATATCAAATACTTATTTTTTCCTGAAATGTCTGAAATGAAGGGTTCCTACACTTTCTGACCAATGGATTTCCATTCCGTTTTCATGACTGTTCCAGCCCTTTCTAATGACAGACATTGTACACACAAGCATTTTTAGCTAAA